GCTAGACAGCTGCATTGACTCTGGACTTGATAAAACACAATAGAGTAACACCAGCAGACATCACGGCACCCAAATCATCTCTGACTTCAAAAACTTCACACTGGACTTCAAGCAGCTTGGATTCTGTGCCTCTCCAGTCTTCCTCCAGACCTTGATTTTTAAATTAAATGCTTCTGACGGGGTTTCTGTTTCAGAAGTGGCTTGGTAGCTCTTTTCCTGAAGACGTCTGAGTGTGGTGACTCTTGATGCACTCCAGCTTCAGTCCACTCCTTGTGAAGCTCAGTCAAGTGTTTGAATCGGCTTTGCTTGACTGTATTCTCAAGCTTGCGGTCATCACTGTTGCTTGTGCACTTTTTCCTTCCCAATTTCCTCCTTCCAGTCAACTTTGCATTTAATATGCATTGATACAGCAGCTCTTTCAGTAATGACCTTCTGTAACTTACTCTCTTTTTAAATTTTTTGAAAAACATTTCTTTACATGTGATGAATATAGAATATCTGAAAGTTCCACTTTTCAAAAAGTTACAAAATAAAAATTGTTCACTATATTCTAATGTTTTTGTGACGCACCTGTAAATACTAAATCATTCTATTTTAAAATTGTGTCAATTTATTTTAATAATTACATTACTGTCGACAAAGCAGAATCCCACTACAAGAGATTCACTTGAAATATTTTTTCTATACAGGGATGAAAATATACATATTTAATTGCATATGTCAAAAGAGCAAGACATCAATGAAATCAAATTGAACAATTTCACTCAGTTAGCCTATATATTATTAATAGTGTGGTCAAACGATTAATTGCATCCGAAATAAACATTTGTTTATATATGTATGTGTACTGTGTATACTCATGTATGTACAAATGCACACATACAGTATATATTTTGAAAACATTTACATGCATATACATTTATATTCTTATATTTTATATATAGAAATATTTAATATATAAATACATAATTTTTCTTAAATATATACATGCATGTGATATAAGCATCAACAGTACACACATTATGTAAACAAGACAATAAAAACAAAATGTGCCTTTATAAAATAAAGCAAGCATACAAAATGAGCTTCCTGCCTTCTCAGTTTCCATAAATTAGTTGAGCCCATCACAAAAATGAAACAAAACTCAGTAGACTTGTACTTTTTTCCTTTGGTTGTTAATGTGTTAAAAACATTGTGTAGGACTGTTCAATTTATTTCTTTGATGTAACTATTTATTTTTATGCAGCTCACAGAATTGCTGGCATGTGATGAATTGAATAAATCAGAATGTTCTGCTGTTTATACTGCTATTAGCGCAATTCGTGAGATTTTTTTTACATGTAAAAATATGAATATAAAATTTATAACAATAAAAAAAATAATAGTATTTGTGGTATTTTTAAAAGGTCTCAGGCACATTAATTTTAATTTAAAGTAACATTCTAATGCTGTCGGTTAACGGTTAATGATCGGTTAATGAGCGTCGGTTGATGGTCAGGAAAATTAACATCCCCATCTGGAAAATAAATTGACAATGTAATTGTTACCTTTCAGATTGGAATTAGTGTCCTCTAAATCGCTGTCCACTGTAACTTCCTCTGAAAAAAACACAGAAATACATTTTAAACATAATATATTAACTCTATATTAGAGTTTGTGTGCACATTCTGTAGAATAAAAATGTAAATGCAAAACAATTAATATTTTGAAGCTGAGGGAGTTCAAGAGAGAGTACCTTCTGGATCGATGTCGATTTCGTCAAAACTTCTCCCTTTAAAATCTGCCAAGCGTCCTTTTTCAAGCGCCAGAAAGATTTTGCTCATTTTGGCCAGCTGAAGGGTGCCCTCAGGCAGCCGGTAAAACTGACGATGTACTCGAATATCATGGCCTAGAAAGTCAGCCAGCTGATCGAGCTCAGTGTTGCTCAGATTGAGAACTTCAGAGAGGGTACCAATCTGTTTCCTCAACTTTGTGGAAGTGAGAGTTTGAGGATTTTTAGCATTGCATGCAACTGCAAATTCACGGATGCAGTCAGAGCCTCTGTAAAAAGTCAATGCAAATGGACGCGCAAAGAGGAAAGAGTTCTCATTCGGTACTCCACACCCATTTCGGTTCTCAATTAGTAGCCTGATTGACTCTTGCATTGAAGGAGTGACAAGGACAGGAACCTTTAGGAACTGAGGATGTGTCATAGCTCTGGGAGCTCTCTGGGTCACTGCTGTTCTGAGTTCTGCAGTTTTTGTTTCTGTTCTCAACTAAACTGCACTGGTCTGGCAAAGTCTGCCCCTTTCCTTTACCTTTTGGCGAAACAGTAAGGCATATACTACTATCTGAACTCTCTTCTGATGTGTCAGGAATGTACTCATCCTCACTGACTTCAGATAACTCATCTTCACTTGAATCAAAAACTTCTGCATGCTCCACAATCTTCTGTCTAGCCTTAAAGACAATGACCATTAATTTCAGTTACTCATTCATGGTATATTCTTTGCGATAATGAAGAAAAAATTAAATGAACACTTACTCTGACATTAATTGCTCTTTTGAATGTCTTTGCAGAAGTGGGATGTTGTTCACTTATTGCAGAGGGTGTACGTGTCCATCTGCCATTGTCTTTAATGTCAGTATTGTCATCTTCACTGCCTGCACTTGAATGTTCAGAGTTGAAAAGATCACCCGAGTCATCATGATTTGCAGGTCTTGTCTAAGAAAAACAAATTAGACACTCATGTCAGAAGAACAGCTCTTCAACTAATCCATGAAAATGTGTGTGTGCTTTTTATAATGAAAATACCTTCAAACTGTTTTGAAAGATTTAATGTAATAAATGTAAACCAAATCGAATGAATCAACGCCTATAATTTTTAGGGAAGAATATCATACATACAAATAAAGCAACAGATATTCTTAATAATTAAATGACTTTACATAAGGCCTATTAATTAATTTGTGTTCACTCATTCAATAAATTTTTTTTTTAGACAAAGTATCAGTCTTTATGTTTAAAGTTGCAGTAAAATGAAAGTAGCGACAGATCTTTTGTTCTGTAATGTGATGTCAAATATGATATATCAGCATAATATATTTGATACATCTAATATATTATGCTGCTTTAGAAAAAAAGCTGGTATTGTAAGTATGGAGCAGTTAACGTGACGTTATAAAAATTAAATACCCGTTTAAAAGATGTTGTAGCTTTAGAACACAGGACTTCATCTTCACTACTGGAGTAGTCAACCAAAGGCTGAAAAAAAATAAAATAAAAGGTTGAAGTGGTAACATTTAATGACAAATTATATACAATATCTGGTTTTCAAGCACATATTAAAACTAATTAAATCATGTTTGTGTGTGTGCACATACCTCATGTGTAATATGTGGGACTCTTACTGGAGCACCAGAGCAGTTCTCAATGGCTGTCATAATGGCATCACCCTTACATAAAAGCAATAGTGGAGATGTTATTAATATTAGTTAGACACCCTTACTCATCAGACCAGGTCCCCACTATGCCAAACATTACAGTAGTGTGTATTAAACTAATGTGCACATACCTCATGTGTAATTTGTGATAATCATCAATTACTGTATCTCAAATTATAGTATGCTGGATTATTCCAAAGTTACCCCGATGGTCTACTGTTTCAGTAGAAATTCAAAGTGCAGATCTTTACACACTGTAACTGCTAATAATGGACACAACACACTGCATGCTGGACTAGAATTGATTAAAACTAAAAACACAGATAAAAAGTGTTTAACTACAAACATGACAGATGCACAAGTAGAGAGGTTTAGATGAAAAATACTCATTTAATATTACCCGTGTTATATTTCACCTGAAACAACACTGAATTTTTTATAAATATATGTTTGGTCATTAACTTTTGAATGTATCATTAGGCAAGCACATGAGCAGATTTTTCAGCAAGAAAGACCTGTGAATGGCAAATTAACATTACTTCATCTCCAATATAGTACCATATTCAATAAAAGTAAATGTGGAGAATGTTAACCATGACAAGATGATTGACAGGACAGTTTAAATGGTGACAATAAACATAACTAAGCAACAGAACGTTCTGTTAAAAACACAGGTATGACAAAGTAGGTTGTCTACTTTTCTGCGACAACCTCAAAAGTAATGTTAAAATTACAAAAGTAGTTGAATTTTGTCAAACCTTTCTCCAAGGCCAGACACTTCCTCCATAATCATAAGTGATTTCCTCTCCAGGAACAATATCCCTCAAAGCAAAAAGGCATAAATGGGGTTTTCCCTCGGTGACAATCTTCTTCATGGTACAGTTCGGGTGCATGTGGTCGTCATTGACAAGCCGGCCAAGGGTGGCATTCTCATTAGTTGCATCAATACTTCAAAAATAAGAAAAAGCACATAACATTTTTTGAATGCTTAGACTAACAATAAACCATAAGACAAAAGCCATGACATGAATGCAAAGTTGTGATGAAACTCTGAAGACAGTTCAGCATTCTTCGCAAAAGTCTATTCCTAATATGTCCATGTTTTTCTGTACATGTGGCTATTTTATATAAACACATGTTCTTGGCCAAAGATCCTACGTGTATGTTATTCATATCCTCATTGGTTAAGAGGATGAAACTCCCCTCGACATATGCCTATATAATATCTGTATTTCTATGAATAAATTGAAGTATTGAGGATACATTTGACTGTGTGTTTTCTTACTTCCTGGCCGTCTGTCTACACTTTAAAGTAACTGAGAATTCTTCAAGGTGGCAAAGAGAATTTACAAAGGGACCAAATTGTTATTCTTTATCATTGATTTACAAATAAACTGTTTTGCAGAGCAGATTTGTTATGTATTTATTTATTCAGAGATTCATAAATGTACTTTTTTGTTTTTTTAAAGATGGACTTAAATGGTACAGCACCACAAAACGCATGCAAACTGCAGTCAACAAGCTAATCTTGAACATTTCCTAATGTGGGGAAAGTGAAAATTACTCTGATGCATATTTCACAATATATTTAAGCTTCATGCATGTCTTTGTAAAGATATTATATTTTTAAAGGAAAACATCGTCTTTTTTCACCATAACTCACTGTGGAACCATTTAATCCCACTTTATGCATTTCAATGAGGAATCCCTCTAACTACAAACTTTGATACATTTTCTGAGTGAAATAGTTTAAGTTAGTAAGTAAGGCAAAAGCACACAAATAATTTATTAATTTACCACTATATTTAGATAGGGCTACAAGATGAGAGCTGATGCTCATCAGGGACGGGAGAACTTCCTCAGTTCAGCGGTAGAGAGCCAGATTTCAGAGTGGCTTCAAGTAGACTGTAAACAGGAAGCTAGATTATGTTACATAGGCTAAGTGTAAAATGAAAGAAGGAAAAATTTTTTTGAGTTTAGTAGTTTTGACTAGTGTGCCTTTTTACAGTCCTTACATGTCCTGTGTGGCTGGGGTTAAATGTTATTAGTACAGGTGATGAGCGCTAGCAAGCATCAGTAAAAGGAATTTTTAAAACACTTCTGTCACTGAATGAATATATTGGTGTTTTACTTCTTTAAAATATATATTTTAATATATTTTGTGAATATATCATGATGTGGGCTTATTTGGAACACATGGGGTCTTGAATGGTGCTGAAGTATTAAATAAGCCCATGCCATACTTTATTCATAAAATCTTAGTTTTATATTCTAAAGTGTACATCAACTAATTCATAAATTTTCAAATGAGAGATAAATCTGACCTTTTAACTGTTGATTTTTCTCATAAACCATGTCAATATCTATGAAAAACACAAATTTAGATTTTGGTGGGCTTAATGGGTGCACTTATCCTACATGTAGGTTATGTATATTTAGGTTTAGCTTATATTTAGTTATGGTTTATGATTATTAATCTTAATTCTAGCAAATACAATTTAAAAATGTTCAGAACTTTAAAATATCCGTGTATCTAGATTTATATGACCTTGTTACCCACCCTTATGTAAAAAAAAAAAACATGGTGTTATTAATACAGTACAACTGTATAAACCATTGTTTGCAGACTGATCGTAGTTTGAATGGGTAATGTTTAAAAGATTGTTAACGTTACATGTAAAACACTGCAGTAGAACTATGGTAACCTACCTTTATAATCGCTTATGTGTTTAGCCTCTAATTCGTCTGTCTTGTCGGTGGCATTGATAGCATGCTCCTCCGCGTCTTTCAGCGGTTGAAGCCTCCTCCGTCTCATGCTGCTCTTCCCCGAAGGCCGTGTCAGTGTCCCCGGTGCTCGAGTCAGCGTCGCCCCGGGACTCACACACTTCACTCCGGTCTCTTAATGGCGCGCAACGCGGTGCCGGAAAGTTAGCAAATTAGCACAATCTTTTCCTCGGGTGAGCGTGTAGTTTAAGTTTATCGGTGTCTTCGCCATATTAAAAATATACAACATCAATTGCAACACAGAGACAGCTCGTAAGAAAATTCCATAAACTTAATTTCAAAATGTTACGAACGTGTGAGAGAGAGAGTATACGATGTCTTTTTTATTATTGAATTATCAAACTATTGTAAAAAACGTTATAATTACCTGAAAATATTTATTAATCCGTTGACAGACGTTGATTAATCTAGTTTTTAGTCAGGTGATCTACAGTTCTGCGCATGAGCAGTTAGATTATGACCCAATTTTGGAAGCTACTACCTGTCACGGACCAGGTGTGTGGAGGCAGGCAGGATGACAAGGAGTCAAAAGAAGGATATTTCTTGTCGCAACAACAAGGCAGAGACAGACAGACACACACACTCACACTCGGGGTAACATTCACAATAACCGACAAACTAGAACACAAGAGACAGGAACAGATATAGGGCAGTTAACGAGGGACAGACAGGTGAGCACAATGAGGTGATTAACTAATAATTAGACGGGCTAAACCAACACAAGGGGAAGAAACCACAACAAACAGTCCACAGGGGTGTTACAGATGTCCCTTTAAGAAGGAGGGCATGCATGTAATACTGACACATGTTCAGTTTTCTTTAGTCAGGTGATCTACAGTTCTGCGCATGAGCAGTTAGTAAAGTGTGTAAGTGTGCTTGAGGGTGCAGTTCCGCGCTGCCACACACACTCAGAGCAGGGATTTGCTCATGGTGGGGCTCAGTGAAAAAAACTGCACTAGGCATATCAGCAACGCCCCCTGAGCCTATTACAAGCAAAACATTGTGACAGATGTCCCTTTAAGAAGGAGGGCATGCATGTAATACTGACACATGTTCAGTTTTCTCCCACCTGTTTACGTTCACTTAATCCATAACCGACTGTATTTATGTGAGATACTCTACACGATACATTTTGACTGCTATGTGTGTATTTGAGCACTGAGAACTGATCGCGCAGTATATGAGAACTGAACAAGTGGAGTGTGCGCGAGAGAGAGCCCTTCTATCAGCGCGATTCCACCTTCCACCTAAAAACAGCTCTTTTCAGAGCACGCAGTTTTGTAGCATTTTCCTTTAAATGTTAATGAGCTGGATCACGAATGATTCGCACGAACATAGACACATTTATATAGATCGGGGGCGCATTCCCTTCAAAAACAAGCAATCCACTGCGTCTTCAGCGGCTCAGATGTCGGGCGTAAATGACGACTGCTATGTTCATTATTACATGCAACAACAAAACACCTCAATCGCTTAGGAGTCATTCTTGTCTACATCTGCTTCGGTGGTGAAACAATGGCGGACTGATGATGACAGCTCACTCAGGGCGGGTCTAAGGTAAGACACCAGTCCAGTCTGTGCTGAAACGCTGCTGTCAATCAAACTATCGTGGGAGGGGCCTGTCTGTGTGACAGGCATCTGAGATCGGCTCGATTTCAGAAAGGATTAAAATTTGAGCAGATTAAAAAAACCCTGGGTGGATTTTTATCATTTTAGGGTGGTTGTGTACAAACACTGCCAACACACATTTCAGTTCAAACAACTTGTAAAAGTGCATGTAGCATCAAATGACCCCTGGGAAAATTACACTGAAGGTGGTTTATGCAACTGGGCACAGAAACTATATATATACACGTGCGTATATACTGTATATACTGCTAAGCACTCCTTATGTGTATGTTCTTTATGGGAAAATGCTTATGCAATTTAGCTTATTAGGTTCATATTCTGGTCGCATCTGCTTGCTGGTATATAATATGCAGCATCAAATATATTATTAAAAAACAGTGTAGCTCACAGCAGAAACGGTGACAAACGATCGTGACTCCTGGCACGAACTCTGGCAGCTGATACATAAAAATATAATAATAATAATAAATAACACACCTGTGAGAACTTTGCCTTGTTGTTTTAAAACACCATCGCCGCTGCCAGGATTTGCACGTGCTCTCTCTCTCCTGAATTGGGACAGCTACGTCGTGATGCTGTGACGCAATCGCACTTCAAATACGCACTTCACTTTGGGACACAGCTATAGAGATTGCATTGCAGTGCCTGCAGTTCGGAAAATAAATCTTTGTATGGAAGTAGATGCAGTAGTTGTAGAATATTTGAGATACTGTGTAAAAGTGGATTTTGCATAGGTGCCCTTTAAGTTTGGTCCATCATCCATTGTCTAATAAATTGCATCATAGAAAATTGATAAGCTTGAGATATGGTGCGGCGTCAGAGACATTGCTAAAGAAGCTAGATAGAATACAATACAGAGCACTTAGAATGTGTTTAGGAGCAGTCAAATCAACACCGGTAAATGCTTTAATCGTTGAATCGAATTAATTGCCACTGAATTTGCGTAGAGTGAAATTGTCATTGGCATATTGGACATCTATTAAAAGTTATGCTGGAGACAATATTGCTAAAGATGTTCCAAAAGACTGCTGGGAGTATACGAGTAAAAACGGAAGAGGATTTGGGTGGGATATAAACCAGTTAGCAAAAAAATACCAGATATCTGATATAGTATGCAGTATTTCTCCAGTATGGCATGAAGTGCCCATATGGATAATACCTGAAGCAAAAATTGATCTGGAGATTTTGGACAAGAGAAAGGAATGGGAGAAAATGGGAATACTCAAACATAATGTACAGAGCTGTGATTTGCTCAGACTCTGCTTCTGTCTTAACTTCATTATCCAGCCACCAGTCATCTAGAGAAGATTTAATGAATGAAATTTTAATGTTAATATGGCGAATTCAAAGGAAAGGAATTTTAATAGGATTTTGTTGGGTTCCAGCCCATATGGGGGTAAGTTGGGAATTAAATAAGTGATCAACTGGCTAAAAATGCTTAAAAAAAGAAAATAAATTGATATCAATGTTCCATTAGATAAAGGGGAAGTTAAAAGTATTACTAAGAGGAATGTTACAAGAGAATGGCAAGAAGTGTGGAATTTAGATTATAAGGGAAGACATTTATATAAAATCAAAAAGCAGGTAGATACTAAAATGATTGTAAGAGGAAGGAATAGGAAGGAAGAGGGGATAATAGCTAGATTAAGACTGGGTCATTCGGGGCTGAATGGTTCATTGTTTTTAATTGGTGTACATGTTAACGGCTTATGTGAATTTTGTGGTGAGAAAGAAACAATTGAGCATGCAATATATGAATGTATAAAGTATAGTGAGGATAGGAAGGAACTAGTAGCATATCTAAAAGATAAAGGTAAGAAGAATAAGGATGTGGGATATTTATTTGGATATGAATTTAATAGTGATAGAACAGGATATAGGATTTTATTTAATTTTTTATTTAGCACAGGACTAGATAAAAAATATAATATAAAAGATGTTCTGTTTCGGTTTGGAGTCTAAGGGGTTCAGTGTGGAGGACGGAGGAGCTGAACACGCAGCGCCAACCGATACCTGGACTCTTGATGGCTTCAGAGTTGAGACAGAACAACTAATATAATAAAAGAAAATCCTGATTGCACAATAGCACAGTAGGTGGCGATATGCGCAAAGATTGCAACTCGCCATGAAACCAAGAAGAAGAAGAAGAAGATGAAGCTTGAGATTAGCCTTGTCCAAATACCCACAATTGCGGTCTTTGCACTTGACCACTTGATTACTTAAATGACGTATTTCCTGTATTTGGCCGAAGTCTTCAAGTGGGTGTGAAGACCACAAGTGTGTGTGGAACTTTTCATTACCTGAGGGGACACACTTGTAGTGTTGTAAAAATGCAAGTGTTTACACAGCTTTATTTTAATTTTAATTTGAAATACTTTGCATTTTAAAATCAACTTCTAAATGTCTGTTCAGTAGTCCCTATAACATGACATAATTTTAATTTGTGGTGCTTCTAATGAAATGATAAAAAGCAGTTGCAAATGTTGAACTAAATAAATTACTACAACTCCTCTTTGCACCAATAAAAGTAAAAATACTGTTTTTCTACCAAATTATTTGTAATATCTAATTATTATAGTAATATTTAACTTACATTGGAAAGGTTTCCGTGACCTCTCGCGAGATCTCGGCAAAAAGTCTCACGATTTATTTCCAGAACATAATGCATGATGGGA